AAGAAGGAGTCTGAGGGAAGAGGAAAAAAAACAAACAAGAATAAAAACAACTGGAACAGACCAAGAATCTTCACCTCTGATCTTGGACTGGCTGCCAAATACGGCGACGTCTCAGGGAACTGCATGATTGTACTCAGTCTGGTTGTCTGGTGTTTCTAGCCTTAATTTTAAGGACATCAATGCGAAGTCAGAACCACGCCCCCTGTGGGCCTGACGGAATGCTTAATTTTGACAGATCAATGAAAACAAAAACAAAGAAACTCTCAACAATCTAAAGGATAAAATTGGATTGTGAAAAAAAGTCGTCAAAGCTTGAATTCTGCAGGCGTGTTATTTTTCCCATTGTTGTGTGAAACCAGGTGTCGTACCAGGAGTTAGTACCAGTTGCACCCAGAGCCATTCACACCGTGCGAGATGTGCTGTTTTATTTGTCCTGTGATTATTATATTTGTTCATACTGGTTGTTTTCAAATAAAACACAGGAGAAACACCTGTGTCAGTGTCAGATTTTTTGGATTAAAATGAATGTTTTATTTAATACGTCACACGAATCTGACAGAGCACGAGTGTGGAGGAAAAATCTGTTAATTAAGTAATTTAATGAAAATGCAAACAAGACTTTCTCATTAGTTCGGAGCGGTGTGTGGATACAAGATAAAAGAAAAAAAGTAAATGCATCTTTCCTTCAGTTTCCTCTCAGCGCCCAAGCACCAGTGCTGAGAATAATACTCATAAAACCGATGTTCTTCAGAACTGTTTACATATCCAAGCCCAACAGTAACACACATTTGCCTGGGTTTTCTCAAGATAACGCATTTTATTAAAATTTTCTCAGAGATAACCGAGGCAGACATCAGTCTTCACTGCAGATGGTAAGAAAAGAGCTGCACGATGACGACATCAGTCACAGTGAAGCAGGGCGGCGGCAGATAACACAGACTTTTATTATTATTATTGTTATTATTTCAAGCAACGAGGTTTGTACTTCACATGCACGTTTCCAGATGCAAACAATATTCACATGCAGTTAATCACAATAACACCCATGAAGGATGAACCAATATGGGCTGGAATCTGGCAATTTCATGACGGAATGTACCTCTTTTTTTAATGAAGGGAATGAATCTGTAAATTAGCTACTGTTGCCCCAAAGGGTCAAATTTAATTAGGCTGTCACTGTCAACTTCTAAAGTAATGACTGCCTGATTCCAGTTTCCCAGCGTATATCAGCGTTCTCATTATTTCAAATGGAAGACTGGTAATGAAGAAGGTTGATGTAAGCCCCGCCCCCTCAGGCGGACGCTGCTCAGTCACACTGACTTGGTCTGTAACAAGAGAAGAGGTCGACTCTTCTTAGAAATTCACTATTCTATTTTAGAATTATCTAATGAAAAGATGTTTGGCAATTCTGATGAACTGTTATTAAACTGTGGTTGTTGTTCCTCTCCTCCCCTGCAGGTGTTGCTAAAAACACAGTCTGGCTCTATATTCAATAAAAGGTCAGATACCACTGACCTCACAATAATCTGGAATCCTAACAAAAACAAATGGGATCATTTTCAGTCAAACAAACATTTGAATAACTTAAAAATGTCAATTCATGCAGAGTTAAACTAACGATATTATCCGATCAATTCATGTTTCTGATAAATCATAAATCACATTAGTGGATAGTGAGCTGCTATCACTTCCAGACACACCAGTGATGCATTGTGGGTTGCATGTTGCTAGGCTACCAAGAGTGTTGCATTCATGGTGCATGGTTCTATTTTAAAAATGTATGTTTCACTTCATGTTTTTGAAATGACCACAGACTGGGCCACTCTGAGCTGGTGTCTGGGCAGTGAGTGGCCCGTGAGCCGCTATTTGAGCAAGGTTGTGCAGTCTGAGACTTTGACTTAGTCCAAGTCTAAGTTTGTTCATTTTTAAAAAATGTATTAATGTTATTAATCTGTATTTGTTTTATAATATATCACATCCACTGACGGTGACGATAATGAAATAAATATGATCTTTTTGACAATAATAACAACAGACTTCCATCATTCCTCTGGTTGAACGTCTTATTGGATATCCAGCACCGTCACCTTCAGACTCGTATGAAGAAACGTTCAAAGGTTTTTTCAAAGATTTTTTTCCCGACTCTAATGTGGCTCATTTATTCTAAATCAACCATTAAAACAGACAATAATATGTGGGAAACTGTTCTAATGTCAGCGAAGTCATTTTCATGTGGACGGCTGCTCTACTGAAGCTGAAACTTTCCTCCCAGATAAGAGGTTTTTAATGAGATGTCCTTGAGACAGAGCCTTGGTTGTGCTGGGTATCATTTAATGAGTGTCTCGCTCACTGATTGTAAGAACCCTTTCAGAGAATTTTCTATTTTTCTTTTTGTCTTTTTAAAGCCTGATTTCAAACTTTGATGAAGAGACGCACAGAAAAACCATGCATGCGCCCTGGCAGCAGAGAGAAAAGCTTTTTTTTAAATGGTCCGAGCTTTCATGTTGAGGTTCAGGTCTTCAGGTCTCTCAAACAGTACTTTAGCCTCCATGATATTCTTTCAAAGGGAGTTTTTTCCAGCATATGAAGAATTAAAACTCACCCTCTGTGTTTTCATTCTTGATATGAAACAGTAAAGGGTAATTACCTGGCAGAACTGAAATGGCAAGAATGGCAAATGGTTTTTTTTTTTTTTCTTACCTCCTGTAGATTAGATTTTTACCCCTCTGGCTGCTGCTTTTGTCCTGACAACCTGTTCACTTTGACCTCAGAGAGAATTTTCTTTTTGACACCCTGCTGTGAATACGTTTGTGCTTTTAAGAGTTTGCCCTGAGAGCTCAGTCACTGCTGATTTTTCTTTTTTCTTTTCAGATAACATTGTGAAAAGTGAAGTGAAAAGAAAGTAAATCCGAGACATTTCTGATTTGTCTGCAGAATACAGAGCTGTATCAGAATCTGATCAGACATCCACATCACCAGGCTTTATTTACTGCTGGAGGAGGAAAGATGATAAAATCTTCAATTGTTTTTCTCTCTTTTATTTAATTGCATACAAATGCTGAGGATTTTATTTAGTTCTACACCACCTCAGTGCAAACAATTACACTAAAAGAGTTTCAAGTGTAGCTTCTCTGGTAATTTCTCTTCTGATTTTTCTCTTTTCATCTTCCTTTGACTTTCCTTAGAATTGCACAGATTCTTCTACATTTTTGTCTTTTTTTTTTGTCTTTCTTCCTCCACTCTAAGTAGTTGCATCTCCTTCGGAGTACTGTAAAAGTACTTCTTCTGCACTGGGGAATAGAGACAGCAGCTGTGACATGGTGAGATTCATGGGGAGGCTGCAGAACTTTCCCATGGAGAGGTCACACACACACACACATACTAGGATTAATCTGTCTCACACACGCAGCAGACAGCTCCACAGCTCCCGTCTAACTCCTCACTGGTGACCTCCTCCCTGGTGACCTCCTCCCTGGTCTCTTCATCTTCCTTGGCTTTATCTCAGTCTTAGCTTTTCCTACCATTTCTCACTTTATCCACATTTTTTCCCCTGCTGCTCTTTTTTTCACATCCATCTGGTCTGTCGTCTTATCTCTTCTTAGAGGTGAAGGTTGGTAGTGGTTGAAGGTTGACCTGATGAGTAAAAGTGAGGAATTAACCAATTACCTTTAACATGATAGCCCTTTTAAATCCCGCCCTCCTTCTTGCTCTCTTATGTCTTTTTACAGCAAGTGATATAATGGAGACTCGCAGCCTTCTATTCATGCTGCCTCCCACAGTGATAAATGTGTCACACATAATGGCTCTCTATTATCTGCTCTTTGTGTGTATGCACTGCACAGATGCCCTTCTCAGTACCAACAGTCTGAAAGCTGACTAATTTAAATGAAACCTAAAAAAAAAAAAAAATCAAACCAGTATTTATTGGTCTGGATATGACGTTCTGCCAAGCAGCACTGAGCCTCTGATGTGAGATAGATATTCATAAAAATAAATTCCAAATGGCTATAAGAGAACAAGAGCGAGAGAGCTGTTGAAGAAGATCTTCATGTGTCTGTCTTTCTTCAATTGCTGTGAGTATAGCAGAATTGTGTTCAGCTAAACAGGCTCATGTAAGTAAATTGTATGTATACATACTGTATGTAAGTTGCTATGAATACTACATACATATTTCTGTTTTCACTTGATGAAAACGAAGCTTCTGTTCATTACAGCTTACCTAACCTGACTGTGACTTTAGTGTCTTGTTTTCTTAATCATACCTTGAATGATATTATCAAAACATGACCTCATATCCTATCAAAACCAAATGTGGTTTCCTGGTTGACCCATGGTTCAAAGCTGTTCGAGAGATGTTGCTGTGTGGGTTTTCTTTTCTTTGACTCCAAAGAAAAAAAGAAAAGAAAAGACCAGGGCGCTTGTATTGATTTCACTTCAACTTCATGCATACGAGGAAAAGTAATTTTTTTTTAGCAAGTAAAATAAGGCAGAAAAGCCTGGCTCTCTGTTGAAAAGACAGAATTTATCTAACAGCAGATATAAGGTTGACTAATTAGCTCTCCGCTCTAATCTCCATTTAAGTAAAAATAGAAAATGTGCCTCACGTTCCTTGGCTCTGAATGATGACGGCTGTTTTTCCAACCAATTAAATAATAAATTTACAGTTCATTTGTGTGTTCAGGAGATGTTGGTGCTGTATTCTTTAATTCATCTTTTTAACACCATTTGTTTTATTTATTCTCTGCACTAAAATGCCAGAGCAGAGGTCCTCAACAGAGGGTCTGCGACCCACCATGCAGAGGTACTGCATGGTGGTAATTGTTTTCTAAAGGCAGAAGATTTTTCAGTCAGAATTTTCA